TCTCAGTAGATTCGTTTTAGTTCCCAATATATTATACTAAACCGGTGTAAATTGCATGTTTGAGGCCCTAAATGAATTCCAATAAAAAATTGTAAACTACAAAGTTTCATAACTTTTCGAGATCTACACTTTTAGTTTAGTAAGTTTTCCATCCGAGGTCGTTTACAAATTTGAATTTTAAAATTTTGAAATTCAAACCCCACTTTTGCATGACAAGATGTTTTCAAATCAAAAGTTGTTAACTACAAAGTTTTATAACTTTTCGAGATCTACACTTTTAGTTTAGGAAGTTTTTCCATCTCGTTTACAAAATTTGAATTTTAAAATTTTGAAATTCAAACATTTTGCATGAGAAGATGTTTTCAAATCAAAAAGTTGTCAACTACAATGTTTTCGTAACTTTTCAAGATCTACAGAGTTTATTTTGGTTGTTTTTCATCCGAGGTCGTTTGAAAAGTTCAATTTTAAAATTTTGAAATTCAAACGCAGCTTTTGCATGACAAGATGTTTTCAAATCAAAATCTGCCAATTACAAAGTTTCATAACTTTTCGAGATCTACAAAGTTTATTTTAGTTGTTTAATCATCTGCTTCATCCGACATGGTCGTTTTAACATTGTTCACAAATCTTATACATCTCTCTTGTAGTTTCATAAACTACAAGAGAAATATATGTTAGATTTGTGAACAAATTCACTTTGTCGTATGAAGAAAAGACCAAAACAAATATTGTACATCTTGATGAGTTATACAACTTTGTAGTTGAAAACTTTTTCATTTGAATAATTCTTGCTTCAAAATGTGCTTTGAAATTTTCTTTGCGAGTGTGTGACAAAGAAGCTCTTTGCCGAGTGTCAAAAAAAAACACTCGACAAAGAGTCTCTTTGCCGAGCGTAAACTGTTATGCCGTGAGTTGTGTCTTTGCCGAGTATCGTCTTTGGGACACTCGGCAAACACCATGTTTACCGAGTGTCCGAAATCTTGCCCACAGGAAAGGTGGGGACACTCGGCAACTTAGGTGTTTCCGGTAGTGGATAATCTAGACCACGAGACCTGTCTAAACATATTAGACGATTTTGTATCGCTGTAGGATAAATTTCATACAAATATAAAACAAATGCATATATAATTGGCTAATTGTATTCTATCATTCAAACACGTTGGGTGGAAAAAGGTGCTTAATATAGAGATAAAATCGGTATTATGTCTCAATTAAACAACCCATTAATAATCTATATCTCTTATATAAGGCTAATCCCTACTACAAGTCTATCTCAACATGCAAGCCATCCATTTCATCTCCCACTAACTATCCACGTCATCTTCCACACTAACTTTCAATCTCTTAATTGCAAGCTATCAACATACATAATCTCCACACAATTTTAGTCTAATTTCTTCGTAATTTCGGTGCGTGGGGTATCTTCTAGTTCATCTGAAGAGAGAGTGTTTATTGATATCTTTTTTTGGTCCCCGTGTAGGCTGAGAGAGTGGAGTTAGGATGCGTTTGGTTTGAGAACTAGCAGGATGGAGCGGACCCATTCTAGTTTTCGGAATATAATGATTCTATATGTGTGTTTGGTTGGAAGAATGATGGAGTCGTTCTATTTTAGTGTTTGGTTGGAGCCGTTCTATGCCACAGAAGAGGACGAGGCATCGACAACCGACCTGCAGCGAGAGGAGAAAAACAGAGAGTCAGAGAGATAGAGATCCAGATCTAGGGTCAGACACTCAGTCTCAGAGACATAAGAAGACAGATCTAGGGTTAGGGTTTGTGAACTACCTGCGCAATCGGAGCCCGGTGCCGGAGATGACGAGGGCCACCCAAAGGAGAGACACCGATTAGAAACAACGGTGAACGTTGGAAGAGGGACGGATGGGAACACGGTCATGAACTCACATAGTTCACCGAGAGCGAGAGGTCGAGAGGAGAGAGGGAGAAGGGAGGAGAGTGGAGACAGGGTTAGACAGGCGGATCGAGGTCACCGGAGTCGGGGACAACGGACGAGAGAGAGCTCAGATTCGCCAGATCATGGATGCGGCCGATGCGGGCGAGAGAGAGAGAGAGCAGAGATTGCGCCACGTGGCGCGGCGAGACTCGAGTGGGGATTAGGATTAGGGTTGGGAGCGGAGTCGGACTGCGGAGCGGGCGACTGGGCGAGCGGGGAGCGGCTCAGCCGACGCTCTCCAGTTATATATGCGGGGGGCGCGGGGAGGCGGCCAGCCGGTGGCAGGCCGGGCCGCCAGCGGGCCTCCGGTTGAGGAGCGAGCATTGCCGTGCCAGCCCACGTGCCTGGGTAAGGCCTAGGCACGGCCTGCTCCTCCAGGCCATGCCAGCCCGGCCCGCTCGTCGTCGGGCCGGGCCAAAAAAACGGGCCTTGGGCGGGTCGACGGACTCGGGCTGCATGGCCATATATAGGAAGGAGGGGCCGGAGTGGGACCCATGGATAGGATGGATCGTTTTCCTGTGTCTCCTATCTTGCCGAGATAAGGAGATTGGGTCAATTGATGGGTGCCATTGCAACTTTCGCTCACGGATTAAAAAAAAATTACAATTCACCTGGTTTCAGATGTGGCGAAGCTAAAAAAAAGTTATAAATGGGATGAGTCCTAATAGAAAAATAAACCGAAAGGTTTACGGACCAAATCGCACCAAAAAATTCACATGTTTTAAGATGTGTCTAGTGGCAAAACTCAAAAAAAGTTATAAATGGGACGAGTTCTAACAGAAAAATAAATCAAAAGGTTTACGGACCAAATCACACCGCAATCACATAATGTTACCTTAAATTTGAAGAATAAATTGATAGTTCTGGATGAGTTGATCCATATATATGATACATTGCAAAATACAAAAAAAAGATGAAAATGAAGGAACGTGTAAATTGTATGAAAACCAATTAGCATGCCATGGGGCATGAATAGCTTCTACTCTCTCTGAGTAATCGCGTGCTCGTGTGGCCGATGGCCACCTGGCCAGCTACACAGGATACGACCATGGAGGCGCTGAGGGCGGCCGACTACGAGAGACATCGGCACAAAGCCACTAAGGGCGATCGATTATACGAGACACGTCTGTTGAGCCGTTGAGGGCATCGACTCGCCCCTCGAGTGCTCGGGTGTCGGGGCTCCGTCCTTTAGCAGTCTGACCTCTAGCAGGTGGCACCGTGGCTGTTTGCATGATGCCTGCGCCAATCAGTCCGCGGACCTCAGTGCTCCATGCTCGCCAGGCTAGGGTTGGGATTTGGGATCCAAGCACGAAGGATTAGAGTCAATGGATGGTCAATGCGTTGATTGGGGAAGAAATCGGTCACTTTGTGTGGGACGATTGAGCCTTCAATGGTCTGTTGCTACCTGTTGGGCTGAACCAACGTGAGTCCTAGTCACCGTCGCCTTCTTCTATCTCTCCTCAGTCGCTCCTTACCATGTCGCAGCCGTGGTGGACACTCGGCTCAACACTCGGTATCAGGAAATGAGGAAGAAGGAGGTTTGGTGCGACCACCCTAGTAGATGGGGCAGTCGTCCAACCATGCCCTTGGGTGGCTCCGCCCCTAGATGTCCCATTATAATTCCTTTTTCCATGAAATGCATCATGCACTGCATTTAGCGAGGCTTTGGGCATACCTGTAGGCATATGACGCAATACACATATTTTTGTATAGACCATGCATTCTACCCCTTTCTTCTTGCTCCTGTCTTTTCTCATCTCTCAAGAGACCTTAAGGCACCATTAATGCAGGCGTTGAAGGTGGACGACGACGAGGGACTATGGGATGGAATGGCCGAACCAAGACACAATTAGTTACTTCCTCCGTTCTAAATTATATAGTTGTTTTGATATTTTTTTGTTCATCTATTTTGATATATATCTCTAGACATATATTATAGCTAGATACATAGCAAAATAGATATACCAAAAAAAGTTAAAACGACTTATAATTTAGAACGAAAAGAGTACTACTAACGTAAATATTTGTACAGTAGTGGTAACAATTAGCTACTACATATGCAAAGATGCACTTATTGAACACTTCCCAATCATTATTCAGCCAAATATCACACTTCGGAAAATCACTAAAAAAAATGCTCCACACCATTCATTTGTTGGGCAGAAACAGAACAATTGCCGCTGCCTAATTCTATACAGTTTTTTTTGTTGTGAAATTAGGCCACCCGTCTTAAGCGGACGACAAACGTGCCCCCTACAATCTTTTACTGCCTCGATGGATTCAACCTGTTTACGTGGAATGACTAGTGCTAAGCGCTTACGTTCATTGGGTAAACCTTGTGGCAAGTTTGATGATGCGCTTCGTTCCGTTTTCAACTTGGATGATCCAGTCGAGAATTTGCGGCAAGTTTAGTCAAGTTGATTAACACTGTTCAGAATTTGGGGCAAGTTTAGTGATGCACCACTCATTTTACTTTATGTACTCTATACAAAACCACTAAACCGGAGTGTGATCCTTGATTGCTGCAGTTTAGCAATCCCACAACATTCAAGCTCACAAAAACCATGGCACAACTAAGTGTGAGACTGAGGATCAATCTCGGACGAACGCATGTGCTTGAACCAATATCCATATTCTAGGCCCTGTTCGGCTGGTATTAAAGCTGGCTGATAAGCCGGCTGAACTGTTTTGTTGTGAAAGAAAAAACACCGTAGATTCTAGCTAATAAGTCGGCTGGTATTAAAGCAGGCTGATAAAGCCGGCTGTTTTGTTGTGTACATACTATTCCATTTGCTGCCATGTGCCATACCAATATTTAGAAAGAAGATAACTTTTAGCGTTTAGTGTTTTATTTATGGCAAGGCGAATCAAATTCACTCAAAGGCACATAAAAAAAAGATCCAAATCAAATAATGCATTTTATATCATTATATCACAGTATGTATTCACAACAACAATAAGCAGGCATTACAATCTGTGTTCTAAAGAACAAGTTAGTTTTACACGCACACAAACACAGCGGTGGAAGCACACTTCAAAGTCACGGACACACCACCCTAAGTCTCTTGATCTTGGGCATCGTTGATGGCACTTGTTCTTTCTTTGGCAGGTGCAGCTCCGGTGCGTTGTTCATCTTGGCAAACCATGGGTGTTTGAGCGCGGCAGCTGCCGTGAGCCGCTTGTCGGGGTTGCAAGTGAGCAGGCCGCTGAGTACCCGGAATCCTTGCATGGATAGCTTTTTCATGGGAAACTCCTGTCGCAGTAGGTTGCGCCGCTTCATCTTCAGCTCTGGCATCATCTGGGTGGCGAACGGCGTGGACGACAACCATGGCCACGTCGTTTCATCTGGCGCGCCGAGGACGTTGAAGATCACGTCGAGCTGGTCTGCTTCATTGGAAGCCATGAAAAGAGGGGACCCGTCGATGAGCTCCGCCATCACGCAGCCGAGCGACCAGGTGTCGACGAGGGCGTCGTAGTCGGGCTTCCCCAGCAGCACCTCCAGCAGCGACGCCTACCACAGCAGCCGGCGTTCTCGTGGCGGCGGCTCCGCCATGCGGCGAGCCCAAAGTCGCAGATCTTGACGGTGGAGCGGTCCTCGGCAACAAGGATGTTGTCCGGCTTGATGTCCCGGTGGACGACGTGGGCGTCGTGCATCTTCTGCGCCCGTGAGCCTGCCACATGACGCCGCGCACCGTCGCCTGGCGGGCAGCGGCGCGTCCCCCTCTGCGGGCTGGTGGAGGAGGTCGCTGAGGCTCGCGCCGGCGGCGGCTGGTGACCAGGCAGAGGACCATGCAGGCGGCCATTAGGGCCGTGGAGCCGACGACGTACGGATTGTCGGCCGCTCGCCTCCAGCAGCGACGCCTCCCGCAGCAGCGCCGCCTGGATCGTGGGCCGCGGGGGCGCTTGATCGCGGCGGTCCGCCGGGTGCCGCGATGCGCGCCTAGTGGCGGAGACTATATGCGCCCGGGTGCCGATGCGGCCGGTCTCGACGACGTCGTCGATGCTCGATTTCGACTCGGTTCCCGCATCCGCATGATCGATCGCGCGGCGCCGGGGTCGCGACAAAGCGGCGGCAACTACCTGGCGCAGCTGCCTCTACGCAGGCGGCCATTAGGGCGAGTGGATCCTGCGGGCGACTCGACGGCGCTGCTTGACTCCGGCAGGGCTTTTGTGGATCGTTGGCGCAGGGGGCAGGCACAAGCCGGTGAGTTGCGCGATCGGCGGCGACTATATTTGGGGTGTCGTCGTTGTTCCGACGACGACGAGCGATGTCTCGATTTCGACTCGGGGCCGTCCGAGATCGATCTCTCCTCTCGTCTCCGACAAAGGTTGGAAGCAGCAACTACCTGTTTGGTGCCGCGGACGCGTTCATGCGATCCCTAAAATGCGACTATCTGCGAGGCTCCCGACTCCGAAAAGCTTTTGGGCGATGGCTTGCGTTGCGCGCACATCGCACGGCGCACAACACAGTCCAAAAATAATCCTTTCTGTTTTTTTTTTGATTTGTCATCGAGAGTTGGGCTCCGTAGTCGTTAAGTGTCTGGGCTGTGGGCTGTGGGCCGTCGGAGACGTAAATCACGGCTACTTATCCGGCCTGCAAGGAAGGAACGGAGCGACAAGGTTGGGCCTCAGGGTCACGACTCACCCGGCCCACGCAGCATGTACGCTGGGCGCTGCAGCCCCGGATCGCTGGACCTGCAGGGGCGGCGGTGGAACTGTAAGGCAACCAGACGACTCCTCGCTGCGGCGCAGGTACGTCCGACACTAAGCCCGCCACGATGTGTTTCATTTTGCTAAGGCCCCGTTCGCGTGTCCTTGAACCCGGCTTGATCCGTTTCTTTTTTTTATTTTTTTATCCAAAATTCCTTCAAATCCATTTAAATTCCTCCAGAACCATACCTCCTAATAGAGCCTAAATTTACTCCCAGTTCCGGCAGTCCACCGCCCGTCCGGGCTTCAGGCTCCAGCTCCAGCCATGCCAAGCTTGGCACTGGCAGCAGCAAAAACCAGATTAGCTTACGCTAAACTCTGAATTTGTGTCACTATCTCGTCGCTTTGTTACTTACATACGTATCTAAGAAAATATACAATTATAGTACAGCGTCATGTTTTAGTACATCAAATTTAACCAAGTATAGATAAAAAATTATAAATATTTATGATATTAAATAAATATCATTAGATTATTTATGAAATATATTTTTATAATAAATTAATTGGAGCCATAACTATAAATATTATTTATTGAAAATTTAGTTAAACGTAAAGTACTTTGTTTAGCACACTAACCCATAGTTGCACGTTTTCACGGAGGACGGAGCAAGTAACTACTCCTACGTGACGCTAATCTCAAGCCCTCTGCGTTGTACGGTATGGTACTGACTGCTGACTTGGAGGCATCAGACTAGCTGTAGTAGCTGATCCAAAATTGCAGGCGTTCAAGTACTCACACGCAGTCAGCATTGCAGCAGTAACTAGTATCGGTACTGTTTGCAAAATCAGCCTAAGGTTCGTACTCCACGGGAAAAAGTGAGGCTTTGTTTAAGGCCTGTTTGGCATGGCTTATTTATCAGTTTTAGGAGTCGTTTGGAGCCGTTTTCTGTTAAATGGGGTAAAGTAAAATAGTTTTACTGGTGAAGCTCCTGAAAACATGCTCTCACAATGATTTGGGGTGGGATGGAGCCAAAAAATAAATGGCTTCTCCTGGCTCCTCCTCCAGACCCTAAAGCTAAAAAAAAAAATAACTTCACTAGTGAAGTGAAGTCCTACCAATCGGGGCCAGATGGGATAACAGATCTGTTAGACACCGTTAGTGGGTCCCACTTCCAGTCTAACAACCTTAATTATCTTCTTCCCCATCTATCCGACTGCCAGAAACCCACGACGCAGTCCCTTCGCGGCGGGGGCCGCGCCAATCCTCCACTCTCGCCTTCAACGGTGTGCACGTCTGCCGAAGGCCGCCGAGACCTTGGTGGCGCCCTCTCTCCGTGGCCGGCCCGCCGGAGCTCTCATCTGCACGCTGCACGGTCGAAGAGGTCACCTCGCTACAACGCCGCCTGCAGCCCCACGCCGCTCTTCTCCCTCCACACGCGTAGCACTCGCGCTCTGCGGGAGACTGGCGCTCACGCCGTCCGAGTGGGACGAGCGCGTTCGGTGATTTTTGTGGAATGCGCAGGCTCCGAATCTTGGAGAATTTTCGAGTCAGGCGAGCCGCTCCATCCTTCGGTTCCCCAACCAAACAGCGGTATGAATGGAACCGCTCCATCCCGTCCCTGCTCATCCCTTGAACCAAACACATCCTTAGAGTGCCTTGTCTCCTAGTCCTAGGCCGAACGAACTAGCATCATGGGTCTACCCACGCACATTTCAGGCCATGCTCGGTGTGCAGTTGTCTGGAGTCTGGACCTGAATTCTTGCTAAGCCCAAGGATCAACAGTTGGGCTTCTATATAGGAAGAGTTATCTCGAATTGTGAAGTAGTTGACATTATTATTATTTACAATGAATTCAATAGAACAAAAATATATATGCAGCACAAAATAATTGAAAGAAGTCTACTTTCTCTGTTTCATCACGATATAATATAAGTCATGGATACTTGGCTGTTATACGCTTCAAAATAAAATTCTATTTAGAAAAATAAAGAAAGGGTATTGTAATGCCTCATTCACACTCTTGACTCTTGATGAGTCTTCAAGCCATGAAGAAAAACCGCCCGTTTTACCTTGTGGGCAAGATGGTGTGTTCCATCCCGTGGGACCCACCATTGTACGCACCGCCCCCCATCAATGACCTGTAGCTCGCCGGCGTTGTGTCCAACTGCCCATAGATTCTCGCTGGCTGAGATAATGATGGAGCTTGCTGGCGAAACATGGCGAATATCACCATTGTGAATTCACAATGGACGGGTCTTTGTCAAATCACACAAGCTCAGCTCACGTAAGAGAGTATCAAATCCGTACATTTATCTCAAGAAATTTCAGTACGTATAATTTGTACTCTTTTTTTTAGGATGCATGGAAAGCTCAGCGAAACATGGCGAAGAAGTAGTCACGCCACCGTTCCCACTTGCATTGTAATGGATGGGACTCCCTCTGCGACAGGCGGCCACGTTTGGCGAGGCGCCATTTCCGGCCACGGCCCTGTTCGGCAGGACTGAAAAATACTGTTTCGGCTGATTGTTGTGAGAGAAAAATACTGTTCTAGCAGAACATAAACAGTGATTTCGTGAGTGGCGGAACAAGCCAGCCGAACACGCCCCACGTCGGCCGCCGCAGGGGACAAGGCAAAGGCACTCTTTGTTTAAAAACCTGCATGGCGGCACATGATGTCATACGTAAGCTAGCTAGAAACCGATCCAGTCACAAGCTAGCTAGCTAGCTAGTCAGGTTAAGTCGATGCAGCACTGCTTGCATACGCATGCATGGGATTCCATTGTTATCGATCTTCAATGGACAACAAATGATTTGTTTATTAAGTAAGGTTAATCAGAGTGGCATCCTATGTGGAATCATCCCTGCTAAGCTAGTGCGTGTGCATGCATTATATTCACATGCATGCATCTATCTGTTTCACCGTCTTTGGATGCTCATGCATGCTAGCTGCTTTACTTTAATAATTGTTATGTACTATATTTTTTTGACATGTTCTTTATTTGAATTCTTTATTGTATGTGAGTGGCCTGGGTAGGTATATATACGGTTCGTTCGGTTGGGCGGCCGGGCCTAACTGTAATTGTCTGGGGAAAGGTCAACTTTTATTTATTTTCGTTCTAGTAAATTTGAAGCTATCCTAGGAGCGATAGCTGGCAGTGTCAAAGTGTTGGTCAGTTGGATATGAATATATATGATAGTTGTGACGTCAAGCATCAGCTAGCGCTCGCCGGCCGGCCGGCGAGAGGATGGTGGAGCGGGTGTAGATTATGGATTCACAGGTGTAGATCATGAGGTCCATGTGATATGAGTGAATGTGTACTAAAAAGTAATTTTAGAAGACAACCTCATTTATATGTAGAGGCGGTTCAAAATGTCCGTAACTCTAAAAATACTAGTGAATTTTAGAGGCGGGCATTCATTTCCGACGACAATCCAATAAACACCGCCTCTATAAATAAGGATTATTTACCGATGCAACTCTCTTAAGAGTCTTCTTTTGAAAAACTGGCATAACCAATTACACATGGTGTGGTCCACATACTTTTTGGGCTTATATATCGCGTCTCCTAGCTAGGGTTCTTAGCCGCCGCCCCTCTCTCACCTCCGTGCTCATGCCCCTCCCATATCCACGCCTTGGGAGTGGGTCTACGACCTAATTTATGGTCGGCTCTTGAAGATGAAGTGACTAAATGATGACTTCATCCTTAGGAGCGGGTCCACAATGGTGGAGCGAGGTTGCCCCATGGCCCTTCCCACCTCATCAAGTATGTGACGACGGTGCA